TACAGCAAAAACACCCAAATAAAATATTTCCTCCTCTTTCCTTTCCTCTGGGAATTCTTCCTTTCACACAAACAGCCTGACAAGGCAAGGAACCTCAAAGTGGACGGGATTTTTTTTATATTGCAAACCCCATATTTACAATTGCAAACAGACCTGCTCACCCACAGCCTGTATGTGGGGTTCAGATCATAGAGTAGGCACTGAGTTGCCAACAAGAGAAACTATTTCTTTTTTTTTTTTTTTGTATTATTTTTCTTTCTATGCTTGGATAGGAACCAGCCTCTGGGAGGAAAGGAATGGAAGTGTTCAGAAAATAAATCGTCCTTCAGTTTATGCACCTTTGGGTCTCATTCATAACCCAGAGCATTAGGAGAAATAACTCAGGCTGAAATCTGCAAGATTTATTCTATTACAAGGAAATTGGTTCTTTTGCAGGAAAAGCATCAGGCATTGATACCACTGGTGTTGGTGAGCAAAGAGGGGATGTAACCTTCACACCCCAGGTCAGACTGAGTGTGCAGAGCTCTGTGGTGTGCCTGAACTTCAGCTCAAGGCTCACTGGCACCTCAGCAGCTCCGTGGGACCCCGAGCAGGGATTTACAAGGACAGCCAGCACGGCATGGATGTGATTTAACTGGGACCTCTGAGGAGCACAGAAACAAAAGCTGCTCCGAGCTGATAAGGGCTGAAAAGGAAACTCAGAATGCATCAGGGCTCTTGAGCCTCTCTGCTACGGCGGAACACTCCTGGCCAGCCTGTTCATCAGCTCAGGGCTGGAGCTACCCCAGAGTTAACCCACAGTGAGTGGCACGGGCTGTGGGATGCAGCTCTTGAACAAGGCTCAATAGACAATACTTAGCAGCTCTTTTTCTTTTTCTCCTGGAATACACCAAGAAGATTTTACCCTGAAGTTCTCATGAACCCTGAGAGCAAAAGGCAAACAAACCAAAAGCCTGCAGACAGCAGGAACCCTTGAGAAGCAGCCTGGATTCAATCCCACTCTCACCTCCACTGTTGTGCAGCATCTGAGACAGGGCACTTGAAGCCTCCAGGAGACTTGAGCAGTAAGCAATCCCATAATAGTCACTAAGGGGCACAGATAAGTGCTTGCAAGGCTGTGGTCTCTGGGAGACTGGAGAAACTGAGGCTCAGTGCCTGGCAAACAGCATCCTCAAGGGAGATAGCAGATATCAGAACAATTCCTTGCTCCCCCTTGCTGCCAGGGAGGAAAAGAGGAGTTTGAGCAGGACAGAGGTGTGTCTGTCTCACATCATGCTGAACACCACAGCCTTTGCTTGAGGGCACCACAGAGCACAGCACAGGCATGGGGTTGCTGAGGAGAGGCGTGGGGAGGGATGTAAATGAAAGCAGGGCCTGGTTAAGGAAGATAAGCTGGGCAGGATGGGGAATTTCAAAGCTGAGGACTGTGCTCATACAGGCAGAGATGCCCACAATAACATGTTTTTTCCAAAGTAACCTTGTGATGATGAGAGACCTTTCCTGGGCTAGGACAGATCCAGATCAGTGCAATGCTCACCACTTGTGACACTTCACCTCTGAAGCCCCAAACCAGGCCAGCCACAGAAATCCACTCTGAATGGAATCCTACTTTTTGGCTGAGTCTTCCTTGTCTTCCACCCTCTGCTGGCCCACAGGCAGCTGCAGGGAGCTGCAGAACCCTGCCTTGTTTGCTTCCTGCCCTAACAAATTAACCAACAGCCAAACTGACCTGCTTATCTACACCCTTCTTGGTCTGCTACACAAAAAAAAAACAACAAAAAAACAGACTCACAACAGAGACTCAGAGCCAAGCTAAAAAGCACCATTTTCTCCCTACAGCCTAAAGAGAAGGGAATCTAAGATATTGTCCTAACACCATCCCTTTTGTATGCTCCTATTCAGCCTCAACCTCTTTTTACTTCTCCTTATTAACACAGCAGAGCACAGTGCTTATTAAACCTGATTTTTCTTTCTTGGATGTAGGCCCTGGTATGATTTAGAAATAACCTTAATGTGGTATTTGTAATTCTAGCATTTACCTCTTGCCATTATCTCCAATATGATGTTACTGCATTCTTGGCTCAGGAAGAGCTTCTGTAGTGCTTTAAAACACCAGGAAAAAGCTCCAATGAGACCTCATTCCTATTGAATAAATGATGGGACATGAGCAGAGCACAGGATATTTGAATATCCTTTAAACAGCCCCAAAAGCAATTAAAATTAAGCTCTATAAAGCAAAACTAAACCTCTGGGGAGGCAGACTGTCTGATTTCCCTGCAAAGCCATCTCCAAACCAGGAGATATCAATCACATCCAAATCCAGACACCCCTTAGCACACAGCCACAATGACCCTTCTCAGACACAGAGTGGTTTGGGTTGGAAGGGACCTTAAATCTCATCCAGTTCCACCCCCTGCCATGGGCAGGGACACCTTCCACTATCCCAGATTGCTCCAAACCCATCCAACCTGGCCTTGGGCACTGCCAGGGATCCAGGGGCAGCCACAGCTTCTCTGGGCACCCTGTGCCAGGGCATCACTGCCCTCATAGAGAAGAATTTTTTCCCAGTGTCCAATCTAATCCTGTTCTCTTTCAGTTTGACCCCACCTCCTGTTGTCCTGTCACTCCTGGTCCTTGTAGAGTCTCCACCTTTCCAGCTCCTCAGCACTGGAAGGCCACAATTAGGTCATCCCAAATCCTTCTCCAGGATGAACAATCCCAATTCCCCCAGCCTTTCCTCACAGCAGAGATGCTCCATCCCTCAATCATGTTGGTGACCTTCTCTGAACTGGCTCCAACAGCTCCATGTCCTTCCTGTGCTGGGACAGGGATTAAGCCCAAACCACCCCCTGCCACTCCTGCACAAACAGAAACCTCACCTCAGGTGCCAAGGGACAACGAACTGCTGGACAGACAACGGAGCCAACACCATTATTGACCCTGACAATGTCCCTCCCACTGTTTGTCTGAGGGCAGCAGTGGCCCTGTCCTCGTGCACAGGCTGACAGGGCCACCAGGCACACTGCTGGAATTCACAGTCGCTCTCCAATGTTGGATAAAAATGCAGGGCTCTGTCAAATTGTTCATTTGTTCACACATTCATCATCACCAAAGCCTGCCTCAGCTGTACTCTGTGCACAACTTTTATTCTCTCCAAGGTGTGTATTTTCATAATGATAGCGCTCTTAACAGTATATTTTACTTAACAGTATATTTTCATTTGGCCCCAGCCACCCTCTGAGCAGTAATTTATTGCTGCTTGTCACTAGCTGCTACTGAGAGTAATACACACACTGGGTTTATTCAGTATATTTGGTATTTCTGGCTTGACTCTTCCTCACACAGACAATACTGCCCAAGCCCAGAGACTCACAAATCACAGCAGCCAAGTGCCTGGGCCTTCCAGCTGCACTTTGTACTTCCCACCTTTTTGCCTGCAAGAGCTAAAAATTCCCGTTTATTCCTTCTTTTGTAATGCCAGTGGAGAGCTTAATGCAGCCTGAGTGCTCTGGGAGCTGCAGGTGTGCAGTGAGCCCCTGTGTGGCCGATGAAAATGTGACAGAAGTAGGCAGGGATGCCTCGGGGGCCTGCCCGTGCTGACAGAATTCCCCATTCAATATTACCAGGTGGGGCCAGGGCTTGTGCTGCAAATGAACTGCAGAGTTCTTTATGTACAGAGTACTGGTGTCCCAGTGCTGCAGCCAAACCCTGCTGGGTGTACAGGGGCAAAACAGAGATTTCAACCAGATAAAGCCGATATGTTCAGTCAGTGTCACCTGTGACCCACAGTGAAAACAAACAAAGCTCTTCTGCAAGGAGTATCAGGAAATTTGGGGAAAAAAGCTCCCCTTAGGGAGACAAATAGAAAATAAATAAAGAAAAGCATCACTTTGCTATTTGCAAATGATTTTTTTACCTCAGACTTGGTAAACGGGTGTTTTGCCTCTGCCCGTGTGGAAGCTCTAAGGGAGGACTTTCCATGGATGAAACTCCTGTCAGTGCTCCTGGAAAAATTAATGATCCTTACTGCATCACCTTCCACTGTGAAGGGGGATTGCCTCACCTGCACCTCACTTTTCACCTGTGATCCCAGCTGGGTGTCCCAGCACCGAACATTCTGTATGTGTGTTTGTGTGTGCACATACATACAAGTACCTCTGTCTGGTTGCGGTGCATCCATGGCAAAGCACAGAGATACACGAGTGTCTGTGTGTCTCATGCCGTGCACACACACGCCCTGAGCACATGTGCAGCGGGAACACCCGCTCGCCCACACGTGGCCCACGGGAC